TGAAGTTCTTTTTTTTTTTTTTTTTTTTTTTGAGATGGAGTTTCACTCATGTTACCCAGGCTGGAGTACAATGGCGCGATCTCAGCTCACCGCAACCTCCGCCTCCTGGGTTCAGGCAATTCTCCTTCCTCAGCCTCCTGAGTAGCTGGGATTACAGGCACGCACCACCATGCCCAGCTAATTTTTGTATTTTTAGTAGAGACGGGGTTTCACCATGTTGACCAGGATGGTCTCGATCTCTTGACCTCGTGATCCACCTGCCTCGGCCTCCCAAAGTGCTGGGATTACAGGCTTGAGCCACCGCGCCCGGCCGGTACTGAAGTTCTTAAGGGATCTCTTAACTTTTCCAGATCACTTTAGGAGACACTTCAGTAGATGGACTCTAGAGGTTGTGAGGCCACGTAGGACCTGAAGAAATTGTTTCTTCCTGTGTGTCTCATTAGCTATGAGTAACTATTGCTGCAGATAATTGAAAGACTAGAATCCTTGGAATAGATGTATAGTGCATGGTGCTTGCCACCAAGTAGGGAGTCAGTAATTATCTGTTGAATGTTAAATGTTGAATGAGTGTGGGACAACTTTCATTCATGTTTCCTTCATTAATTGTGGTTGTACATTTTTTTTTTTTAGAGACAAGATTTTGCTCTGTGGTCCAAGCTAGAGTTCAGTGGTGCCACCATAGCTCATTGTAACGTCAAACTCCTGGGTTCAAGCGATCCTCCTACCTCAGCCTCCTAGGTAGCTTGGGCTACAGTGATGTGCCACCATGCCTGGCGAATTTATTTTTATTTTTGCAGAGATAGGCTCTTGCTATGTTGCCCAGAGTGGTCTTAAACTCCTGGCCTCAAGCAGTCCGCCTGCCTCAGCCTCATGAGTAGCTGAGACTACAGGTGCATGCCATGATACCCAGCTTGGTTGTACATTTCTGAAAGCATTTAATTTAATTACTATTAGATGAAGTAATTTTATTTATTTATTTGTTTGGTTTTTTTAGACAGTGTCTCACTCTGTTGCCCAGGTTGGAGGGCAGTGGAACAATCACGGCTCACTGCAGCCTTGATCTACTAGGCTCAAGCGATTCTCCTATCTCAGCCTCCCAAGTAGCTGGGACCACAGGCATGCACCACTAAGCCGACTAATTTTTTAATTTTTTGTAGAGACAGGGTCTCACTATGTTGTCGAGGCTGGTCTTAAACTCCTAGGTTCAAGCCATCCTCCCTCTTGGGCCTCCTAAGGTGCTGGGATTACAGGCGTGAGCCACCACACCTATCCTTAGATGAAGTAATTTTAAATGTAATGTTACTGACTTCTCATAAACATACTCTGTGATATGGAGAAGCACATTAGTAATTTGGGAATTAAAGCTCATTTGGAAATTTTAGTAATGCCCCATCTTAACACATCGCTGATTGCAGCTAACTGATCATTTGGTGTCTTTTTTAATAGCTACTATAACATTTTGGGGAGGGATATGTATATATACATGTGAGCATGCAAATTTACATACAAATACATACATACATAAACAGTTATGCTTGTGTATATACAGACAATCTAGAGAAATACTAAGAAACTGTTAGGAGGTTGGGTGCAGTGGCTCATGCCTATAATCCCAGCACTTCAAGAGGCCATGGCAGGTGGATCACCTGAGGTCAGGAGTTCAGGATCAGCCTGGCCAACACAGTGAAACACCATCTCTATTAAAACTACAAAAAATTAGCCAGGCATGTAATCCCAACTACTTGAGAGGCTGAGGCAGGAGAATTGCTTGAACCCGACAGGCGGAGGTTGTAGTGAGCTGAGATCACGCCATTGCACTCCAGCCTGGGCAACAAGAGCAAAAACTCTGTCTCAGAAAAAAAAAAAAAGAAAAAAAGAAACTGTTAAGAGTAGTTGTTTCAGGAGTCATTTTTAGTAGAGACAGGGTTTCTCCATTTTGGTCAGGCTGGTCTTGAACTCCTAACCTCAGTTGATCCACCCGCCTCAGCCTCCCAAAGTGCTGGGATTATAGGCATGAACCACTGCACCCAGTCCTTTTGTCTTTTTATTGTACTCAAATACATATACACATAACATGAAATTTACCATTGGTGACTTTAAGTACACATTCACAATGTTGTGCAACTATCGCCGCTAATTTCCAGCATTTTCACCACCCCAAAAGGAAGCTCTGTACACATTGAGCAATCAGTCTCCATTTTCTTTTCTCTCAGGTTCTGGCAACTACTAATCTGTCTGTTCTATGGATTTTCCTCTACTAGTTATATTATATAAATGGAATCATATAGTATGTGACTTTTGTGTCTCTTCACATAATGTTTTCAAAGTACATCCATATTGTGGCATGTGTCAGTATATCATTCATTTTTGTGGCTAAGTAATGTTTCTTCAGATGGATATACCACATTTTATTTACCCATTTATCAGTTAATGGACCTCCAGTTGCACTTTTTCACTGTTGTAACTAGTGCTATATGAACATTCATGTACAAGTTTTCTTAATACCTCTTTTTGGTTATTTTGGATATATACCCAAAAGTGAAATTGCTGGGTTATATGGTAATTTGATATTTAACTTATTAAGGAATTAATTCTATACTTTTGAAGATCTTTATTAACAACACATATAGCTCTAAGTAACTTTATTTCTATGAACTGGTTCGTGCATAATATTCCATCATATGAATGACTGTGTTTTCTTCTTCTTTTTTTTTTTTTTTTTTTTTTTTTTTTGAGACAAAGTCTTGCTATGATGCCCAGGCTGGAGTGCAATGGCACAATCTTAGCCTACTGCAACCTCCACTTCCTGAGTTCAGGCTATTCTCCTGCCTCAGCCTCCCAAGTAACTGGGATTACAGGAGCGTGCCACCATGCCCAGCTAATTTTTTTTGTTTGTTTGTTTGAAAAGGAATCTCACTCTCTTGCTCAGGCTAGAGTGCAGTGGTGCAGTGTGAGCTCTCTGCAACCTCCACCTCCAGGTTCAAGTGATTCTCTTGCCTCAGCCTCCCAAATAGCTGGGATTACAGGTGTGCACCACCATGCCCGACTAATTTTTGTATTTTTAGTAGAGATGGGGTTTCATGTTGCTCAGGCTGGTCTCAAACTCCTGACCTCAGGTTGTCTGCCCGCCTCGGCGCCCCAGAGTGCTGGGATTATAGGCAGAAGCCACCACACCCAGCCTATTGTATTTTCTTTAACCAGTCTCCTAT